TTGGTCACAGTTATAAATCGAAGACAGGAGAATTTCTAAAAGCAGGCATGTATCCTCTGAGAAGTGTTTTTTTTAGATACAAGTGCCAAGAATATATTAGTAAGGTCATGAACACAAATGTAAGTATCGCATACACATGAATTACACAAAGAATACAATTTACTGGCTAATAACTTTAGTAGCAAAAATACTTTTTAAAGGCCTAAGTAAAGCTCTAATTGGAGCCCTATGAGCTCTTTATGGTAAGGCATGTCTTATTCTTCATCTTCATTCCGTAGTTCCACATTTTCTTTCCCTTTCTGCCTCTACCATAGTGTCTAGGACACAGTAGATGAATTAATTCTTGAAGGAATAAATTAATAAAGAAACATCCTGTATAATGTTATAGCAATGCTCAGGCATGAAGGAAATTGTGTGTATAAATAAATTTGAGGTATATGCTTAAAGATTCAAGATTTATAGCCAAAGCCTAGGGTTCTAAGTCTTAACCTGTTATAATTTAGTCTTAGGTCTTTAGTTAGGCATTTGCTTCTTTTTGCCTGCATTAGTCAGCTTTCAATAACTGTGACAAAATGCCTAAGAAAATTAACTTAAAAGGAAGAAAGATTTCAGTTCATACTCACTTGGGCCTGTTTGGTGTGCAGTACGTCATGGTAAGAACACATGGTAGAGAAGGCTGCTCACCTCATGGGTACAAGGAAGTGGAAGAGGAAGAGGAAAAGCTGGGGTCCCAGTTCCCCTTCATGAGCACGCCCCCTGTGATCTAGCTCTCTTCCACCAGGCTCTGCTGCCTGGATGTTCCATCATCTCCCAGTAGTGTCACAAGCTCAGGACCAAGTCTCCAACACAAAGAGTATCTCAGGGACTTGCAAGATCCAAACTACAGCAATACTTTTTGAATAAATCTGAAAAATGGTAATAATAATAAATTCCTTGACTTGAATGATAAAAATCAAAGAAAGTATGTGACAATTCTTTGAAAACTATAAAATATTATGTAAATTTTATTTTTAAAAAAATCCAGGAAATAGAGTTTCCTATTAGGATTTCAAACTAAGAAACTATCACCTTTACTATGGACATAAATAGAACTTGATTTGTATATTTCATTGTTCCTTCTCTGGACTGACATTTATTGGGCATTTATAGCAAACATAGTCTGTTTTCAATTTAAGGATAAAACTAATACTCTTATGTCATGATCGTTGGGGAAATTATTCTCCTGTGAGCAAGTTTTAACTTCACTTTCTCCATTTGTATTTCAAGTGTTCCAGTATGGTTTTATATTTACATCCTTATCAACATGTGGTTGAACACGCTTATTGTTGTTCATGCAAAGCTAAGGGCATTTCTCTACTCTAGCAGAAACATGACAAAATTGTGCCCTCTTTTTAAAATGTAGGTGGAAAAAAATTGCAAGCAAAATGTTTCATAGTTCATCGTTTTGACATGAAAACAATTAGTAATTTATCTTAGCAATGAATACCATAACCCCAAGTAAACTTGAATTAAGAAGTGGTTAAGTTTATTTTGGAAGTACATATTTTAAAGTCCTGGTATTTTGGAACTCTTAAATTTAACCATTAGAAGAACTCGGTCATCATTAGTTAGACTTAAGATGTGGTTTTAAAGGTCAAGCTTCCATCAAAGAAAAAATGCAAGACGCATCTCTAGAGTGTTCTTTCTGGCTCTCCTCCCAAAGATCTGATTGTGTGGAGGAGTTGAACATCATAAAAGTTTGCATGGAAAATGTATTTGACGAATGCTTGAGAAAGACTGTGGATCTCATAGATAAATTATCTGAATTGTCTGAAGTCAGGGGTAAGGACATAATATCATTTTGAACAATGATTTCTTGGGAAATGAAATGAAGGAGTTAACTCACTTGATTTGATACATTTAAAGAAGGAAAGATTCACTCTAATTAAAACTACAAACAATGCAGATGCCTATAGCTCTCTGCTCCAGACCCAGTAAGGATGGTACTGTAAGTGAAATGAAATGTACCTAGCAGCCCCAGCAGCAGGCTGGAGCCGTGTTCAGCAAAAGTAATTTAATTAGTGTTGATCATGACTCCAGATGATGGTGATTTGATAAGGAATAATTTAGTACTTAACAGCCTTTTACATGCACCAACTCCATGTGGGAAGGTAAAGCAAATTGCACAAAATGAATGTGCTGCTTTCACTTGTGCCTGTGCCAATGGGCTGGAAAACCGCCTGTTAGCAGACACTCAGACTCTCAGCCCCGTGATGAAATCCCCAACACGTTTTCAACTAAGTCCTCTCTGGTAGGAATCTCTAGACTACCCTGACTTAAGAACAAATAAGAGAAGTCATTTCTGTGACATAGGATCTCCAGGAAGCAGGAAATAAAGTGCCCTAAGGTTCTTATTCAAAAGGTTGAGGATCTTCAACCTGGCATTCTCTTTTATTCCTTACATGCAACAATTAAAAAAAAAAAATCCTTGCCAACTCAGATTCACTGCATTACTTATTTGGCTTATGATTAAAAAAAGAATCATCTTTAGGAGCCCAAACACATTGAATGTATGAAGAGAGTAGAAGTCTTTAACCACGAGAACTGGAGGACCTCTAGGGGTCTTCGAGTGTTGGCATCTGAGGAAAGAAAAGACACTGCTATATATATAATTATTTTTAAGTGTTAGACTTCTCTGAATGCAGTGTACACTGGACTCAGGTATTGCAAAGCATCACAGTGGATTCAGAATCTGCCCAATTATGAGAATTACCTAGACATTTTTATAGCATACAAAAATCTTGACCAAATCTCAATCAACATCTGACCTTAGTGAGTCAGAATTTCTGGGACTGGTATATTGTTTATTATGGCTGCTGTAGACTGGGTGACTTAGCAAGTGAAAATGGGTTAATCAGTGTCCGGTTCTGGAGGCCTGAAGCTCAGTGTGTGAGTAGGGTTCTGAGGGCTGTGAGGGAGAACTTCCTTCCTGCCTCTCCCCTACCTTCTGGTAGTGAGCTGGCTGTCTCTGGGTGTCTCTGGCCCTCCTCAGGTCATAGAAGCTCCATCTTCACATGGTTTTCTCTGTGTCATGTTCCTGTGTCTGGATTCCGGCCCCCTTTTTAGGACACTAGTCATACTGGATCAGGGCCCACCTTAGAAACATCATTTTAATTTAATTAGTCTTCCAAATAAGGTCACATGCTAATCAACAGAAGGAAATTCTTTCCCTCTCAGTTTTGCCTATTTTAAAATTTCTGTTTTATCTATTCTTTTGTGCTTGGCTTCTTTTACTCAACTTTATGCCTATGAGGAATCTATGTTTTCAGATGCACTGGTAGGTAATTTGTCCATTGTGATTTCTACAAAATACTGACTCCATTGTACGAATATAGAAGGATTTATTTATCCACTCACCTACCAATGAATATTTGAGATTTTCATTTTTTACTATCATGAATAATGCTTCTATGAACATTCTTATGTATGTCTCTTGGTGAACATATGTATTCCCTTCTTTTGGATATAAACCTTTTAGTGCAAATATTGGATCATAAGATACCTATGGAGATTAAACATTTTAAAAATAAAATTTTGTGAGGCCAGGTATTTAGCTCAGTGGTGCTACTCCTACCTCACAACCAAAAGGTCCTGAGTTAGATCCCCATACCAAAAAAAAAAGGAAAAAAAAAAAATGTAGGTAGTAAATGACTGCAATCCCAGCACATAGGAAGCTGAAAGGCAGGAGGACCATGAGTTTGAGGCCAGTCTGAGCTACATAGTTAATCTGAGGCCAGCCTGGACTACACAGTAAGATGCTATTTCAAAAGTAAAAAAAACTAAATTCATTCTTGTGTCTATATCCCCTCTTCCTTTAAAAAGTGAATTTGCCATTTATACTAAAATTTTCATTATTTTGATAGAATCTCTATGTTTCATGTAAATGTTTCATATTGAAGACTAAAAAAATATAGGTTGTTAGGTATTTCTTTTGGGGGAAAGTACCAGGGCTTGCAGGCTATGCAGGCCCCCTACCACTTGGCTACATCACCAGCTCTTTTAACATTTTTTTACTGTATTTTGAGACGAAATTTTGCTAAGTTGCTCAACCTGGCCTCAAATTTGCAATCTCCGAGCCTCTTGAGCAGCTAGAATTATAGATATGCACTACCATGCTTGGCCACCTCTTAGTTTTTAAACCTATGAAATACAACATTTATATGTAAATACACATATTGCAAATACACATATTTCTTCTAGTCTTCATATTTTATGATCTAACCTCTGTATTATATTAAGCATGCATGAACATAAGTTAATCATAACCATACATTAAGTCATATGAAAAAGGGAAAATATCACCTGATATAGAATAATTATTTTATGGTAGATCACACATGACAAATAATTTTCATATATCTTTCAGATTTCACTTTTACAATTCTGGTAGGCAGACATTTTAAATTTTATCTTATAAATAACCATCAGCCATGAAGATCTTGAGTCTTTTGCCAAAACTATCATGAATTTCCCCTGGACCTACATCTGGATTTTCTTTGCCATCATCCAGCTTCCTTTCCATTAAACCATTACTATTGATGTATTTGAGACATTTTTCTTTCAGTAATGCTTAACATTATATCCCAGTTTTCAGTTGGTTCTTGGCCAATCATTTGTCTTTTTTTTTCTGTTGCACTTGGAAATCTTTCCGAAATGTTTTCAAAATTTCCTTTCTGAAAACTGAGCTTCTAACATTGTTGATATTCACTAAACAAATAACAAGTAATTTGATTTACCTTAAGAGAAAATTTGGTCATATATTTTATTAGGCAATAAAAGCAGAAAGGAGCATACAGAGATTCTCCAGAATTTTTTTTTTTTTTTTTTGCCACTGAAATTCATCAAACGTGCTTTTTGTTCCATATATAAGTTAATATGAAATGTTAATGACATTTTAAACAAGAGAAGTAGCCACAATTAATTTTTGTCTGTACTTTTGTTTGGTTTGGTTTCTGTTTCAGTGGCTTTTCATGGCCTACCACTGAAAATCAAGAAAGAACCCCACAGTCCATGCTCCGAACTCGGCTCTGCCTGCAGTCAAGAACAGCCCTTTAAATTCAGCTATGGAGAAAAGTGCCTGTACAATGTCAGGTAAAGCAACCATGTCTATGTATATCAAGTCGTGGCTCTTACTGAAATAAAATGTCCAAAATAACATAAAATTCCCAGTCATATTTATGAGTTACATCTTCAGTATGTAACGAGCTAATTAGGTGACGTATTTAGCAGAACTCTAAAGAACCATTTACTCTACAGTCACACACTTTTGAGAATCATTTTAAAGCAATAATTTTGATTCAAATCATTAGTTATTTTTCTTCTGTATTGATGCATTCTGGCTTTGAGAAGAGGGTCATATTTGGCACAAGCAGCTTTTGAAAGTTTCCATTAGAATGAATTCATTATGCACTTTAGATAGAGTTGGTAGAAAAAAATGCAACATTTGGCAAGTCTGAGCAGTACATCAGTTATCTGACAGGCTTTGCAGGTGATCTATAAGATGCATTCATGGACAATTGCAGTAAAACCAGAATTTCGTAGGCATAGCAGAGGCTATTATCTATTAAAATGCCAGCCATTCTGATGATAATAAAGGGCGGTGCAGTGAAAGTACATTGTTCATTTGTTGGAAAATTTGATAACATACATGTTCATTAAAAACTCTTCACAGTAAATTACATGCTTTTACTTTTCATATGGGCCTCTAATTGCGTAAAGAAAAAGTTGGCTCTGTCTATTGAATATTACTATCAATTACTGGAGAAACTTAGTTCTTAAAAGGACTTGGTTTGAAAACTTATAAAACCGATTTCAAATATTTGCCCTGTTTTCTAAGTTATATCAATTAGGCTCATAATGCATTATGAGCCAGTGGCATTTCCTGTTTCTTCATACATTTATTGCATTCATTCTTAGTATCCAAGAAGATTCTCGAAATTCAGATTCGTACCAACTCAGGCAGCTTACCAGTGCTCAGGTATTTTACTGCTACTTGTTTTTGCAAATTTTTCTTTTATATTTGCTTTTCTAAGAGATTCACCAGACCTGGGAAGTTATGATCCATCTCAGTTGAAACTTCAAAGCTTTCATTAAAAAAAAGATCTCAGGGCCGGGAATTTAGCTCAGTGGTTCCGGCGCCTGCCTCTCAAGCGCAAGGTCCCAAGTTTGATCCCCAGTACCAAAAAAAAAAAAAAAAAAAAAATCTCAACTATGAAGGCATACTGAATTCAGAAAAAATACTATTGATCAGTCTGAATTTTATAGTTTAGTGGGGTATTTTTTGATATTGTCTTCATAAGGTGCTGTGTGTCCACTGCATAGGTATTTAACAGACTGAAGAATTTCTAATCAGTGAACTAGTTAGATAGTCTTTTCATTTCAACATTGATCAGAACTGTGACTGTGAAATCCCTTTTGTTTTATATGACATATTTGACTTCCATAAATTAACAGTAGAGGAATTTCCTGAATATTTTGAAGCTTTGGGGGCTCAGTAATTTTCACAATGATTTATGGTATATGCAATAAGTTCTAGTACTTCTATATTTATTTAAACAATGTAATTTAACACAACATTGCATGACAGAAAAAGCAATAGCTTAGGATTGAAAATGTGTCCTCTGATTTTTTCATAGAAATAAGTCAGGTAAGCCATTTTATAAAAATGATTTCATTCAGAAATAGTAGTAAAGGACACAGGTTGAACCAAACATAAGGGTCTTTATGTAAGTACAACTGACTTTGCTTTAAGCTATGTACATACATGTAGCACATACTCTTTCGCTTGGATACAGTATTTTTGCATTTGAGTATAATTTTTATATGGATGGAATAAATTATTGTATATGTCAAGGCAAAAAAGGCATATTTTCTTTTTAAGAAAAAATAGGTATTTGTTACTTTTTTTTCCTTTTGCAGAACTGAGGACTGAACTAGATAAGCAGTCTACCACTCAGCTACATCCCCAACCCTTTTTTATTCTATTTTGAGGTAGAATTTTTCTCAGTTGCCCAGCTTGACCTCGAACTTGTGATTCTTCTGGCTCAGCTTCCCAAGTAGCTGGAATTACAGGCTTGTGCCTTCACTCAGATTGATTAATTTTTAATTTTTAAGGAAGTATAGTGATTTAATCCGGAAATGTCCTTTTTGTTCAGACATTTAAGTAAAATTTGTTTTTCGTAGAATATAAATTACAAAAATTAAATCTTGTTCCCAAAAGCCACACATAGAAAAGCAATTTAAATTCATAATATAAAATCAAACTTACTCATTTTACTTTCTTTAAGTTTGAGTGGAAGCTAGACTATGATAATATAATTTCATTCTTAATAACATTATTTTGTACTCATAGTCTGCTAAAGTTTAAATATATCAGAGACTTTTTAATTTACTTCATTAATCTTTATTAGCCCATGTGGGGAAGTTAATACCCAGTGTCATTTATTTAATCTAAAAAAAATTTAAAAAGCAAAACATCACTGCCTTTAAACTCCACCACAAATGCAGGTAATCCAAATAAAGCCTCCATCTTATTGAACTGATATTAGTTCTTCTTTTAAATGCAATATGAATAAAGAATTATAATATCAGAACTATTTAATGATTTAGAAAAGACCTAACCAACTTACTCAAATGGATATGCCAAAACCAGGTGGAATAGGGGGATAGATATGATGAAAATATATTACAGTCATTGAAAAGCAATATTTTATAGAATTAGCAAGCACTAATAAAAATACTTACCGAGATAAAAATACCATTGTTTTCACTGATAGTGGTTTTCCTAATACTAAGTCATTGTATATGTACTAAAGTACATATTTTATATGTATTTATGCCACTACAAGATTTGGTACTGATTATTCTATTTTCTGTTTAAGAGTGTCGTGAAGTCTACATGTTCTGGGCTTCAAAAACAAAACAAAAAACCCCACAAAATTGGAATTTTCTTAGGTTCTAGGTTAAAATATTTTTTTCTTCCTTGGAATAGAAACAATTTTTGAAAAAAAATGCTTCAAAAAAACCAACGTTCTGTTTTCTCTTGTTTCCTGGGCAGTGCCTATGATCAGAAGCCACCAGTGGGAATGAGGCCCTCCAACCCCCCCACGCCGTCCAGCACACCGGTGTCCCCCCTCCACCATGCGTCTCCAAACTCCACTCACACTCCGAAGCCTGACCGGGTCTTCCCCGCTCACCTCCCTCCAGATAACAGCTACCCCATGGACCACAGGTAAACTGCACATACCGACGACGGCGCTTTCAGAATCTGTGTTTTCAATCCGGCGAGACATTCCTCTTAGTAATTCTGAAGGCCGATAGTAGTTTTAAGGAGGAGAGCACAGTAATTTTGCACATCTGTGCAAAATACTTTTAGAAAGAGCTTGCTCTATCTATACTTATAAATAATTTGTAGAGAAGGTCATTTATAAACACTCTTTTTATAAACATTTAAATGGGTTGCTAAAATGGAAAATTAATCTATATACGACATTTGAACATTGCCCTTTCACGTTGCTTGAATTAAATTGCTTCACTTAAACTTTACATCAGATCATCCCATTTCTATGAGCATATGTGTGTGCTCGTTCTGTAAAGTTAGGAGACTAATTTTAGTAGGTGACTTATGCAATTAGGTTCTTTACCCTAGATTTAATGATTTAGCGATACATAATTTTGCATAATATAACTTATTTTATTCAAACTATTTACTGGCCTTTCCAAGGGAAGCATAAATAACATTAGTAAACCCATGACTCTGGACCCTAATAATATGCAGTTCAAGAGACAGAAACTGAGTTAATACTCCTTACAAATGAGCAAGACAAGAACCAGAGCGTAGAACTAGAGACAATGCTGTAAAGTTATGAACTCCTGGAAATGAAGAAATTCATATTTAAATAAAATATTGGAAGAGTTTTAGAGGCCCCAAAATATTGCCTCAAGATATGACTTAAATGCAGGTTGATTACAACCAGGAAAACTCCCTCTCCCTTCCATTTTGCGTTTACATATAACCACTGGTGTTCTGGTAAGTATTCTACCGTGGACTCTGGGAGAGAATCATGAAGATCTCATCTGTAGCATTTGTTGAGTTGATGGTGTGAATCCGCTGCGTGGGTGACTGAGGTATCACTGTTACAACACAGAATGCCAAGTTGGAAAGAGATATGCAGAAACACCCCATTGTACAGTACTATATCTTTTAGATACGAAGTCATAACCCCAAGAGCAAAATTAATAGTGCAGTGTAGTAAAATAATCAGGAAGTGGTAAGTTTTCAGTTTCTGTTCCCTTTGTTTTATTATATTTTTTTAATTGGGAAGTTGTATAATTCAATTTTTAATGACAGTGCATATCAATGGGCTCAAAGAATCTCTCCCTGAGCCTTTAATCATAAGTCAGAACCATAACTGTCTGACACACAATTGTAAAAATAACTCAGCCAAAGGAATCCTCTAGATCAGCAGAGGGAAGCAGAGGATGGGCCTCAGGCCGCTTTCTGAATGCAAGGGAGCACTCAGAGCTGCCCCTTCTGGGTTAATGGACTCAATCTCAAATGAACTCTTTGGTATAAAGGAGTAAGATGAAGCTAACTTTGTTTCCATGACTAAGTCCTCTGGTGCTTTCCTTATTAGATGTTTCCTATTTTCTTTCCCTTCTCGCCCCATAGACTTTGGTCTTTGTCAGAGCGAAACGGTATGTGCATCTGTGTAAACACTTTCGTAAACACAGATGAAAGCATGCTTATTGCAGGGTGGGCCATTAAACAGACACACATTGTGTGGGGCTAGAAGGAAAAAGTATGAACCAGAAAAGCAAGTTTTATTTTGTCCACTTCCAGTAACTTCCCATGGTTCTTGATGGCCAAGGAGCTCACACTTCATGAGTGCCAGAATTTTAGTGACAGCTTTTGCCTTTTGCGCAGCCTCGCTATTTCTTAGGGAAGGTGACTGTTGAATAAGCAATGTGGTTCTTCTTAGGTGACCTAACTTGAAATGCTTTAGCCAAATCCATTTTAATTTCTCAACTTGAAGTCAGATATTTGAGACTGAGAACAGCCGGCCCACAATGACAAGAGGGAAGCTCAGGGTCTTTTCCCACTGCCCCCTACTGGGGTTTGAGGACAGTACCAGCTGGCCAATCCCAGGAAAACCTCCCAAGCCTTATGTTTCTGAGGAGGGCTCTGGCCAACAAATGACAGCCCATTGGTTATAAATGGCAAGTTTGCTCTGGGAGCAGATCCTCCCCAGCTAGTGCCCCATCTCACTGTGGGAATGTGCTGTGGCCAGCTGGCCCGAGCTCTGCTTCCCTTAGCCTCGCTGCACTCCTTGGGCCAGCCCTTTGGCGTTTTTTCCCAAACCCCCTGTGCAAGAGCGCTGTCTCTTTCCCTGTGTCCCCCCACCATTTACACCCTGCTTTTCTGTATCCAGGAGTTCATCCACATGTTCTCCTTACCCATTACATTTCTTCCAGATGTTTTTTTTTTTTTTGATATGTTGAAGTGAGCACAGAGCCTTTACACTGAGATACATCCCCGACCCTTTTTATTTTATTTTTTTATTTTGTGATAATGTCTTGCTAAGTTGCTAAGTTTTCCAGGGTGGACTTGAACTTGTGATCCTCCTGCCTCAGCCTCCCAGAGTGCTGGGGTTACCAGAATGTTCCACCGTGCCCAACCCAGAAGCTTCTTCTATTACTTTCTCCTAACCACTGGTCACTGGCTCATAAGAATAGCATCAAAAGGTACAACCTTTTTTTTTGGTACTACCTTTTATGAAACATGTGTGTTTCAAATATACACCATCCCCAGGAAGTAGCAACTGGAATCAGGTCAACCCTTATAAACAAATGGCTTGATTCTTTACAAAGCTTTCAGTACAAGCATTATTAACTTCCTTTTAAGGCTTCACAAGTGAGCCCATTTCTTACTTTATCTTCAAGTTACAATTTTCTGATTCACTCCTTGACAGTTCTTAATGATAATTTCTGTTTCTTTTTTTGGCTAATGAAATAAGCAAGAGAAGGGAAATGAATGCAGTGCCAGTCAGCCTAACTGTTTTGCAGTATCTGAGATTCTAAGTTTATTTTCTGCAGGTGTAGGTGGAATTTCAGCACTTTCTGTGGCAGTCGGTGAGCCAAGAGTTAATGGAGTGTTCTTAGAAATGCTACAGCAACTGCTTTGGCATTCTTTAGCTTTTACCTTATTTTCATTTAACATTACCAAAATTAAATGCTAACTTTCCAAATTAAAGTCTCAGGAATGCTTTTAGTTGGAGGGGTTTGATAGGTTTATATTGGCTCATGGATATGTTTTATAGGTTATTTTTAAGCACTCCTGGGACATTTTTAGAGCACTTCTAAATCTTTAATTAATCCACCTCTTTGTGGTGGGTCAATGATATTGTAGATGAGAAACACAGAGGAGAATGATTATGTGATTAGCCAATCCTTACACAGCATAACCAAGAAAGGCTTTCCCCCAAGGCCTCAGAGCTTCCTGTTGACCCGCAGTCTTGCTCCATACTTGTGCATTACACATTATCTTCCCCTTTGCTGGTCACTGCGTATTGATGTTTACTTGTATCAATTTGATAGTTTGTTTGAGTACATGGGAAGTTGCTGTTTGACAGAAAAGATGTAGCCTTTGGAATAACAGCTTGGATTTAAGTCTGTTATAATCCTGAGTTTTATTTCTCACTTGAACACAGTGTTAATTAGGACATTGTTGAGGAATAAAAAGGCCAACCAATTTGCAAAGAGAATCATTGTCATTTTGTTTCTTTTATAACTAATAGTCCTGGAAGAAAAAACCAATACATATGTTTTGTTTGTTTGCTGATTTGTTTGCTAACAGATTTAGAGGATAGAGGTTTGAGAGTAGACTCTTTATTCTGCTTTTTCTTATATATTATGATTAGAGAACTGTTTCTTGTGGAAAGCATGTAAATGATCAAATTGACTTAAAATTTTGCATTTTGGCTATTTAGGGCCCATATTTACTCAAACAGTTCCATGTTCTTGTATCACCACTCAGGGTACAGCTTACATGGTATAATGTGCTGAAATGGTGCTGTAAGCAGCAGTTAGAAGGGGAACCCAAGCCATCATATGACCAAGAAGCACCGTGCTACTGACCTAGGACAGAGGACTCTAGAGCTCATTAAATAGTAATACTTTGGCTCCGTTGGTATTATGTTCATTGACTAAGCAGTAAAGATTATAGCAGTGTTTTAAAGACTATCCTGCACCATTTCATCTGAAACACACTTTCTTGTTCCCCAGATTTCGCCGCCAGCTCTCTGAACCCTGCAATTCCTTTCCTCCTTTGCCCACAATGCCAAGGGAAGGACGTCCTATGTACCAACGCCAGATGTCTGAGCCAAACATCCCCTTCCCGCCGCAAGGCTTTAAGCAGGAGTACCACGACCCAGTATATGAACACAGCACCATGGTTGGCGGTGCGGCCAGCCAAAGCTTCCCCCCACCTCTGATGATAAAACAGGAACCCAGAGATTTTGCATATGATTCAGGTAGGCCCGTGCTTTGATGTTATTATCTCAAACTTCTTTCCCCCTCCCTCGTCAATTTGCTTAGTGTTACTGTTCAGCTGGGGAGGCTCTTGACTATTTCTTTTTCAAGTGGGTCTTTCAGATTTTTTAGCCCTTATTTGAAACTTTCTCTATATGTAAAGGGTTGAACTATCAAACCGTTTTGCCATAATTCAATGTCTGGAAATGAAACCAGTTGAATGAAAAGTGCAATTTATAAAATTATGCACTTATATGTAAATTTATAATCTGAGAGGACTAAGTGTTAGGAAGTATTACATATGTAGTTGTTAGGATTTTCTTGATTCTATGCTCTATTTTTTCTACTTTTACTACTTCAGGGCCATTTGAAAACAATGTTTATGTAAAGTGATATTCCTCTGTATTGCTTAAAATAAATTGCTCTCCAAACCCATAGGCCAGCTGGTCCTGAGTCCACTTCCACAGCCTGACCAGGTTCATTTAGGCCTTGTTTTCTGAGGGTGGAGCACATGGCTTTTGTTTGTTCCCCAGCCTTAAAGGCGTGGCTGAGAGTCAGCTCTGTGTGCAAGGTGAGGGTGAACTTGGATGTGTCCTTAAGCTTATGTGTCAGGTCCCCATTGTGGGGTACAATGCTAGGTTGAGAAGTGGGGGGCAACTTGAACAAAGGCTGGACCTCAGCTCTCTCCATACTATTCTACTCCAGGGTTAATCTCCAGAGATTTCCTTAAATGCTAAATTGGATCTCTCTTTCTGAGTTGTGTCATCATGATGTGTTTTCAAAGATGGAGAGAAGTGAATCTATTTTTCGTTTTGTTTAGCTGATTTATAATTAAAACATTTTAAACATATGGTATAAGGGACTTTATTTTGATTCTTCCCAGAGTCTGTAATTTGGAGACTATCTAGAATTATTTCATAGTAGTTTCATTTTAGAACTACTTTTCTATCTGTCCATTGATATCCATATTAAGAACCTGCAAGTCAGTAGTCTTTTTTATAAATAGGATACCCTTCTATCTGTAAATTTCAAAACCTGTTAACTGACAGCCTAAACTATATTTTATTTTGTTACAGTTTTTTAAATCCATTCATCAATGTTTCAAGATATACAGTACATGGAAATGGCATAAATTAACCCAAATAATCACTCAAAATGACTTATACAACATAGCATTTAAAGTTTCTTTGTGTGTTCTAAAAATTTTGGATAGGGATGACACCAAAAAATAATGTTGAAATGGTTTTCTTTTCTTTTAATTTTAATTTAAGTTGCTGATGTTTTATACTACTTTTGAATTAAAATTTCAAAATTGCTAATAGGATTTATTTTTGTTACTTGAATAGGTAAGTGGTAAAGATGGAGCCTTTGGATTTGATTTAAAAGAAATGTAGCAACTATTAATCTAGGCCTGTGAAAAATTAATCTGGTTTCAAAACATATTTTACCGGCCACCAAACTACTGCTCTGAAGTTGACACCTCTAAATGTCCTATATTCCGATCAACAAGTATGATCTCTAGATATTTTATTTTGTATTCATTAGTTCTTTTATCCTTGCTGAGAGCACAGTAAATAATCTTCTAGGAGAGTGAATGTATTTATAATTGAAGCCCTGATTTATTTCTTTGCCCATCAGTGTTGAACAAACAGCATATTAGGAAATATGTTATATGTGATTTAAAAACACCGCTAAAAACATTTTCTAAGTCATTTAACTCAGCATCTGTGATCCAAATGTTACCCTGTCACAAGTCCTGTTGGACTCTTTATTGCTTAACTCAATATACCATAAATGTTGTGACAATAAAAGATGACTTGTAAGGGAAAAGGCAGCATGATTGTGCTCTAATAAAGCCTGATGTTAATTATGACATGGGAAATGGAAGGTCTATTAGTTATAATTATAATTACAGGAATGCAATTTCAACTGCCGAATATTTAAGATAAAAAATTCAAAATATTATGTTAGCAGAGTAGATCATATTTTTCAGAGACAAGAAAAAATTTGGATCAGAAGACAGAGAGGTCATAAAAAATGGTTCTCTTTCGGTTGTTTGTTTTTGTTTCTTTGAGACAGCATCTCACTGTGTGGTCCAGGCTGACCTTAAACTCACTGTGTAGCCTAGGCTGGCCTCAAACTCAGAGCTCTCCACCTGTCTCACCTTCTCAAATTTGGGGTTACAGGTGTGAACCACCACATCTGGCAAGAAATTCAGTTTGGTGAATTAAAAAACCAAGATGGTGAACCAGTACAGTGTAATCTGATTGAGCTGTTATATCATGTTGTCAAGTCCAATATAATATATCTACCCCTGTTGCTTTCCTTCTCTTCCAGCCTATCAGAACTCCAGAAAGCAGTATATACACTTTTATACTTGTTGGTTGGCTTTCCCAAATCCAGCATAATTTTTTTTTTCTTTTTGGCTCTATAGCCAAGTGGCCACATAAAAAGAGTGAAATTTGTATCGAGTGACTTATTCAAAGCACTGTATGCAAAGCCCTTTATGCACTATCCCCTTTTCATAGATCCATAGCTATTTGCCCATTTCCTTGCTCATGTATATGTTTTTTAAAGTTTAGAAAGCCCAACAAAGCAGATATTTTAGTGTTTATAACAACATATTTTATTGGAGTTGTATGTGTTGATTGGTTGGCATTGTTTTATTCTGTTTCATTTTAATTTATATTTTGATAGCTTAGCTTATTTTTAGGGCAGCTGTGGGCACACAAAACTAAAAATTTGACCTAAGAAAATACCAACACAAAATTTTCAGATGCTTTGATTAGGTAATTTGCTCTCAGGAATTTATGGTATGAAATAGGGAGAGATACCCAGTGAATGTTTGAGAGAAATAAGGTGAAATATTATAAGAATTGATAATATGGCAAAATAAATTATGGCTACCAGCAAGAGAAGTATTCTGTAGCTTTAGAAGTCAGTTTTTTAAAAAAATATTTAATGAAATGAGACTACCGAGTTATAAGAGTTAAAAATAAAAATGTATGTAAGGGATGACTACAAAGTAAGTCAATACAGAAGCACAGGTTGATGGTGTCATAGGTGACTTGGTTTTCTCTATGAAGTGCTTTCAGTTTTACTGGTTTCCTAGTCAGACAGAATAAGTATTTTTTTAAAAATCTGTTCATTTAGACTTGAAGACTCAAGGTGCCTAAGTTAATCACATCATTCCTATAAATGAAAAGAATACTAAGCAAATGATGACACTATAGAGCCTCGTGTGTTATAAACTGAAATGACTTTCAGCTTGTCTGTGCTCAGGACTGCCTTAGAGAATGGAGGGAAAATGAACACAGGTCACCTGTCCACAGTGTCTCCAACCCTACCATGGGCGCTGTGTCCCTTTACACTTTGTGGTGTACTAAACATCTTAACTTGGGTGTTGTTGGGAAGAGTGATGCATCAATATTTGCTTTTAGCCCTTGATGCTTGTTCTAGTATTCTAATTAATTTAGAAGGTGCTTCCCAAGCCATGTGCTAGAGCAGTTTAATCAAAGTGTTGGGAATGAAGACTGGAGAAGAACTTTACAGGAGCAAGAGAAGGGTTGCTGGAATAAGAAAAAGGAGGAAAATGTTGTTTTTCTTGAGGTATTGTAAAAGGGAAAGTGGAATTAGAAAGCAGGGGAGAGCCTGAGTGTGATTTGCATTTCTAAATTATATTTCTTAGAGCCACTTCTGCTATTCCTGAAGAGGCCTTCTTTCATGTTGGAGGCCTATAACACTTATCTGGTGGCAAATTTTGTTAGCACTGACTTAAATTAGAAATCTGATGCAAATAGACATTTGATAGAATTATAAATCTTTATACTCATGAAGACTCTTGGAAATCACCTCCGTCAAATTCCTTCTCCACATCGTTTTACAGATGAAATAACGGAAGCTTATCCAACTTAACTTACCTTTTAGTTAGGTATCTTCTGAAACAGTCACAAATACTAAGATTTTTCTACTTCTTCACTTAGCACACAGTTTAAGGTCTGTCTTCCTATGTGATTGTTCAGCTAAATTTTTTTCTTTTTTTTTCTGTACTAGAGATTGAATCCAAGACCTTGCACTTGATAGGTAAGCTCTCTACCACTGAGCTACATTCCCAGCCCTATATGCCACTGGCCAGAGTAAAAATAAATAATTTAGTTTACTACATATCTTACTGACCATTTATTCTAATCTGGACTGTTTTTTCTCTGTTCTCAAAGGCTCTCTATATGATCCAGAGAATAATGTTTTTAAAATTCAGAGGGCGGGGTGGGGGTGGGAGTTGAACTCAGGGCCTTTGCACTGAGCTAAATGCCAGGTCCTTGTGACTCTTCTGGCTCAGTCTCCCAGAGAGCTAGGATTATAAGTGTGCACCACCACACCTGGCTGGGGAATCAGACTTTAAAGCTTGTGATTCTCTTAATTTGTGAAGGGGACTATTTCACATTTCGAGTGTTATTGTCAGTGTCACTGCTACGAGCTAGGAAAACATAAAGCCTTGAATTATGCAATCTACTTTCTTTTTTAAAATGTATTGCAAATGTTATGAAGAATTGAGATGATCAAGGAAGTGGGCTTTTATAATAGTTTTTCTAGAAAAGGCTGAATAATTATTGGAAGAAAAGTGGCAAGTTAAGTGCCTGCCTAGCTGCCGATTTTTATATGAGGTTAGAGTTCGTCTGAGTCTTTTTGCTGGACAAACACTGTGAAGGCTCGGTGACTTACAATTTAACTACAGCAGTGGGTTTCAAATTCTTGTCTTCTGAATCCACTTCCCACGAGTAAGCTTCTGAGGTAGTGCAGTATCTAAAACAGATGGAAAGAAAGTGGTTTTGGAAGGATAACGAGATAATTTCCCGTCATTCATTTTAAACCTTCCATCACCCCAGCAATCCCTTTCCAAGTTCCCTATACTCCTCTTTATCACTTCAGGGCTTTGACAAAAGCCAGTAGAAGAATTTTCAAATTTAATGAATTTTCTATCTGTTCTGTGCTTGTAGAAAAATTAGGTGTAGTCAGAGAAATGATGAAATAAATACTAAAAAAAATAGTTTCCTCATGTTAAATATATTAAAACTGGAATAGTTTGACTTTTATCTTTCAGAGTTGACAGATATATCTGATACTCACATGGGCCCACACTGACACTTCAGTGAAGAGATTTCAACACTCTTGGATTTCCGAAATGGCAAAAGAGGAAGAGTTTTATGTTGTAGACGTTATTCCTTGTTTTCTTGTGTTGCTGGATGCTCATCCTAATCCAATAGTAGGGAAAGTGGTGAGGTAATACCTACTGCTGTCTCTCTAGAGCACTGCTGGAACTTCGCCTTGCAGAGTTTGTGATACGGTTTTAAAGGATCTTGTAGGATGAGACCAGGAACAATATGATTAGCTTCTGCATTGGTATAGAAATATAAATAGGAAATGCTTTAATGTGTTTGGAGATGATTTGTCAGAACCTCAGTCCACTGTCCAAACTTGCAAAAGATGGAAGAAAAAAGTAATAAAATGCAGAAGGCTAAAATTACCTGGTAGCTTATCTCTAAATTATACTATTGCACTTGTTAACTTTATGAGTATAGCTATAGCTCAGAATGTCTGCCATCAGGATATATTATTTTGAAAACACAATTTCTTATTATTTACTTACTGGGGGAGGGATAAATATTATAGGGAAATTGACCTCATGCATACTTTTGATAAATTTCCTTATATCATTTTTGATTGATTAGAATTCACACAAATAACCAAAAATATTATCCAGGAATCACAAGGAAAGCAGTGACTATGATGTAAGCTGTTGGAAAATGCTGTTAAAGTCAGGTGGAAAACAGGGAGTAGAAAGTAAAGGTAATGGATGTTTACTTTGAAAATCCCAGGTCACTGTAAACATCCAGGCTTTGTTATTTCCAAAACTGAAGGTCTACCATCCATAATTTCTCCCTCTTGAACATGCACATGTTACTATTCAATGATTTCATACTGAAGACATTATAATTATATAGTCATTAAAAAATGTTTTTTAAAAGATTTAAATATTTTATTTTTACTCATGTAGTTTAAAATAATAAATCATATTTGGAATTTTATTTAGGTTGCTGGAGTGGGGAAGAAAGCAGGATAGTGTTTCTCTGATCATATTCCCTAAGAAGAATGCAAGAGGTCCCCACTTCTTTCATATACATGTCTTCTCTTCTGAGAAGCCACTACCTATTCTAAGACATGGCTACCTCTAATAGGAAAAAGCAAAGGCATAGTATCTAAAACCACCTCTCCAGAACTTCTAACACCTAACATGGTCCTTGACTCATAATGGATTTGCACCCTGATAAGCTCTTTCTAGGTTGAAAATGTTGTAAATCAAAAGTGCCCTCAATGTACCTCATTCACTCAATATCCTTGCTTAGCAGTAGTGGATTGTGGAGTGTAGGTTGTTTCATCTTGTGATTGTATGGCTGACTGAGCTGTTGCTCACTACCAATACCCAGTACCATGAGAGAGTTTCATACCACACATCCCTAACCTGGAGAAGGATCAAAACTCAAAACTTAAAGTACAGTTGCTAGTGAACACATGTTCCTCTCACACTATCATAAGGTTGAACCATTGTAAATTGGAGACTACTTAAGTATTGATACGGCACCATCTTCCTCGGTCAATAACAGATTTCTTATTCAGCTCTTCATAATTCTAAGATTGTGTTCCATATATTGTGGTCATCTGACTTTACACATAATTGATAATGAAACCTACACAATGTATTAACATTTTTTAAACTGTGAAGAATTGCATTTGAAAAATGGTCAGATTCATGTCATAATTTTTACTTGTGTTTGCTTGAACCATCTTAAAAAGTAATCCCTAAAAGAGCATTGGATATTTCTTAAAGCCTTAAAGAGAGAATGCTAATTAATTAGGTCTAACTCAGTGTATGTTCACTGTTCAGTACTTTTGTTCTGTTCTATATATAGCTGTTTGTATCAAGTATTTCAAATTTTGAGATCCAAGATAGGGCCATAATTTTACTTTCTACCATTTTATTTGCCAGATATTAGAAATTAGAAGTTAAAAATTAAATTGTCATAATGTCATAGTAGATCATCTTTTACAGGCTTAAACCCAAACACTGGGCTGTCTCTATGTTTCCTCTTGCCTTCTCCAGGCATGGTCCTGCTCCTTTGATCAGTTTTAAGGATGTACACAGGGACTGTTGACTCCAACTGTTTTCTCACATGACCTCAGGTCAATGGAAGACAGAAATGTTTTCTTTCTTAGAGAGTTAAGATCCAAGTTACAGATGGCTGATAAAACACATTATTTAGTAAATACTGTACAGTTTAGGACTGACTTTTCACAAATCATTCCCATAATTGCTCATTAGGTGGTCTTTTCTACCTAAAAACTCAGATATTTTAAAGCATTACCATCTTTAGTAGCTTCCAGTACAGTGATGATTATAGCTCCATGAATGTTGGCTTTTTTTACCTGGTATGTAACACTCCCAAAGGCCAAGTCTTGGCCCTTTTCCATTACAAAACGTCATTTGCTTAAAGCCACATTTCCTTCTATAACATGTCAGCTCTTTTTTTTTCCATCCTAAGTCTAAAACTATTGCTTAAAGAAATTCAAGTGGAGAATCACTTGGGAATTTCAAAGAAGGAGCTATTACTGATCTTTGGAAAATATTTACATTTTATCTGTTTCCCTAACACCCAAATATATTTTTCTTTACTCAGCTATGATTTGTGGACTAGTACTTAATCACTTAATCTGATTTTTTTAGGAGCTTCAGTTGTGAAAAGTGACAACCATATCTTCCTAATTGATTTTATTACTATAAAAGAGATCATAGATTGGCCTCACAATTTGACTTTGCATTTTATTGCTTAGTCTGTCCTATATGGGTTTTCCTCATTCATTTCTGAGTGAAAATAGCAAATCTCCCAAACCACTACTCTGGTCTACTATATCAGTTTTTCTAAGAAATACTTCAATATCCTCTAAATCTACAGTTACAGTAAGTGGCATTGGCTAGTGATTTGATTTGAGAATTGAGACTACAGTCTGGATTTACTCTTTATGCATTAACACAGGTCAAATGGACAGGGACTGCATTTTAAGTCAGTAATGGAAGGCTGAAGGCTGTCTTAAACAAATCATATCAGTTTTACCCATGACTGATTGGTCCCCAGGGGTAGAGTCCTGTAAGCATTTCTCTTATATGAATGGACTCTATAGAGCCTGGTGTTTCATTCATAAAATGGAGACTGAAAGGAAACACACACACACACACACACACACACACACACACACACACAGTCTGGCTCTCTGGAATGTCCATTTATACAGAGCTGAAGGGTGTAGTGTTCCATCAGCTACTGCTTTTGCCAGTTGACTGGAAGTAATGATTAATGCTCATTGGTCCTGCTCACATGTAACCCGACACTATTATGGCTTTCCAGTGTTCATAATGTATAGTGAATGAGAAGACAACATTCTCAAATCAGAAACATAAACAGGAACTGGTGGGTCTGAATTCCATTCAAATATGTCATTTCAGCCCCACTGTTTGTCTAACTTGGATTTTACAGGCAGGAAAGGGGGAAGGGAGGGATAATCTGCTTGTTAGTTGTACTAGCTTGGAAAAAGGGACTTTGAAGGAGGTGGAGTATACTTTTATAGAGTATAATTTATAGTTTCTTTTTAAACACAACAACCAGGACATTTAGAGTCCAGAATTGCTTGCTGTCAGTGAGTTAAATGAACATACAACTGTCTTTTTAAGCAGAACTGAGATTTCAAATCAAACAAGACATTTTAAAGATGAATGTTTGGGTATCTGTGTGTGTTTGTATGTATTTCATGAATGTGAAAAAAATAGAAGAAAGTATAACTATTTTACAACTTCTGTGCATATATGAGTATGTTTTTAGAGTACTGTTACAAACTTTTTTATACTTTAAGATTTTTCCATACTTCAGTGACTTGTTTAGTAGATAAGAGGACAAAAGAGATATTTTATATAAAGTATTTTCATCTAGGTTATGAACCACTTGAAATAATTTTCAAGGACTTTTTGTCAGGTT